GATTAGTGGATACCAGTACAGTCTATATACAATTAATATGGCTGATAATTAAACAGCACTAGATTTACATATGGCTATTTAGAAGACATTTTCCACACACAATTGTGCCCAACAACAAGAAAAAATTATTTACACAATGCTAAAGGATGATGTTAATTGTTGCACTATACCTCCATACATGTATTGCTTTCATCTGAAGAACAAGCTGTATGTGTGATTATATCCGTTTATGGTGCACTTGGTATATCCAGGCCTACCTGCACAACTTTGCTGTGCACAACAGTGCCGATGGTGCTTGCGCCCAGCCTTGGGACGAGCCCTTTGAAGAGACCTGCTTTCCCATCAATCTTGATGATGTGTTTTGCTGAAACATTCATACAATACACAGCAGCATCAGTTATAAAATGCACTTTAAAAACAATTTGATGTTTATATAAAAAAAGATGCCTTTTAAAACCACCATTATGTAATAAAAAAAAGGATTATTATTAATGAAGTATTCCAAATCTTACGCTGTTACATTTAAAAAATAAAAATAAAAAAGACACTTACACTAAACTGTGACCAATGAGCTCAGCATGAGAATTTTGTCAATGTACGGTTGTAAAGGGATTTTTTTTTGTTGTGGACCTGTACATTGGTTCGTTTGTGTTTTGCTCTAGTATCAACAATGAGACCATAAATCAGAAATAAAGATAAAAATCAAACTGCATTTATCAGATAGCTCCCAAAGATGTGGATTAACTCCTCTGAGATCTGACCAGGTAGATTGCTGACACCATGTTCTAGTTCATGCAAGCAGCGCTGTCACTTTTAAATAGACTTTTCCAACATTGCATGGCCTGTTGGATTTAGGTAGCTTTATTACACCATCAAATTCAACTTAAAGAGCCTTAAAAAACTGTTTGGTATTTTTATTGAACAGCCAAAACGAGAGTTATTATGAACACTGACTGACAAAATCCTGAGTAGGCTACAGACCTATAGTCTTTGTTTACATATAGAACAGGGAAGTGAAATCCAAAGTAGTCACTTGAGACACATTTTAATGCCGTGTGTGAACTGACATGCTTAAAGCTGTCCACTTATGATTAGATCACCCAAGATGCATGTTAATATCAGGTACAGGAACACAGCCCGAGCTGAACTCAGATGTGTGCTCTTACTGGATGATCGGGGCTGGAAGACCCGCATACTAGTTAGTAAACAAGTAGTTAGTAGAAGTACATATACAGATAGGTTTCACGCCATTCCCCGCCTTTCCACTGACTGACAGTGGGTGACAGTAACATGGCAATAAACAAAGCAATGTGCAAACAAAGGCAAGAAAGAAGAAGACTGCTAGCAAATAAACATGGATGTAAACAATGCAGGGTTGTTTTTTGAAATGTGAAATGTTAAACCTCAAGGATACACACAGTGTGTTCAAGTGAGAACCACCAAATGTAAACATAACTTTGTTACAGGGCTACTTGAAGGAAGATTACAAAACAATAGACTTGTGTCATTACTATTTAAGTTCAAAGACATATTTACTTTTAGGAGCCTCATATTCCGAATGACAAGCAGGAAAATTGCTTCTACATTCCTGCAAAATATCACCAACTACAATCATATCTAGGGAAAGACAGATCAGGCATCTGACTGCATAAAGCAACCCAACATGCACTTTATTTCAATTTGACACACTGTTCTCATGTTTGAATAACCCCCCAGTCACTTTTTGTATAAGTCAAATGTGGCAAGTTCAGATCTCCTAACAGTTCCATAACAGTGCCAATACAGTTTAGGCTGGGTTGTTACAATAAAGTAGAACATACAGCAGCATAGAGAGACATTAAATGCACAGCTCATTCTGCTTTCTTAAGAGCACTGTGATAAATATAATTGTGAATGGGCGAGACTCACCATAGGCAAACAGGCCGGGCAGCTGGTACACCTGTCTGCCGAACAGGTTCCTGCCCAGGGTGGGAGGGAGCGGCTCGTGTCCTACCTGACGACACACACAATAATAATGAGAACCAATATGCAACTGTACTGCTGTGTGTGTACGTGTGTGTGTGTGTGTGTCTCAGCAGCACACACTTCCGGGTTTCTTTTTGACGCATTCATCAACTTTGGTCTAAATGTCTGTAGTTCATTATTGCGATACGGACGTTTCTCTGAGCGCTACTTACTCTGTTTTTAAAACAATGTTGACTGTAATGCTACAAGAAGTAAATGATCAACTATAGCCATAGCCAAAGCTAGTGTTAGCTCACAAATCATTTAGTGGCCAAAAAGCACTGGTCAGTGAATAACGATACTGTGCTAGCGTGCTAGCAACGCGGTCAATGCTTTTACAAACCTGTCACACAGTTCGTACATGCAGACAGACAGAGAGAGAGCTAACGGCTAACAACTGTCAGTGCCAACAACCGTTAGCTAACGTTACTTCCTGACCTTTCACTGTCACGCGGGTCAACAAGGCCACTCTGTGTGTGTGTGTGTGTGTGTGTGTGTGTGTGTGTGTGTTCCGGGAGCGGAAATCACAAATCCCTTTTTTTCATTTCAGGAATTGTTTTAAAAAGCAGAAACTAGACACCAAAACATCAGACAACACAGCTAGCAATGCATTGTATCGCAACCTAATACACCTCAGCTTGTTACAAGAATATGAAAATATGTGCCAGGGAGATTAAAGTATTCTCATACATTTGGAATACAGAAGATAAACTAAGCAGCCCTATATTTGAATACGGTATGAACTTGAATTGATTCACACACCTCGCTTCCGCCCACTACTGAGTGTTTTGGAGACAGAAGGTCATAGGGACAACAGGCGGAACAATAATGGAGTTGGTGTTGCTTTCGTTATGATTGCGGCTATGTGTGTTACATTACGCTGAACTAAAGAGTCCACTGTAGCGATTCACCGAAGTGCTTGAGTTAGGCCCTACACTGCACATTCATTTACTGAGAACCAAGGCAACATTAAACTGCGCTATTTCCAATGGACTTTGGCAGTTCCCTCTTCAGGGTGGTTGACTTCTACTGTATTTACAAAGGCTCGCAAACCGCGACTGAAGGACCCGGACCAGTATCACGTTCCCAGCGTGTACACGAACAGCTCCCCTCTTACCTGGATCAGGACCTTAATGTACATCAGAGGGTGGGAGAGGACGGTGAGCCCTGAGCCCAGCAATACTTGGCCACACGTGTCCGCCATTTTTGGAGAGACAGGGGAGACAGGAAGTTCTTCTCTTTGGTCTTGCGTCATAGGAGCCGAGAGCACCCATATTTGATCCTAATAACGGTACCGCCATCTAGTGGTTACAGTCGCCATGGACCCTTTACTTGGCCACGCTAAAATAATTCAAAATCCCAACAATAGCACAACATAAAAGGGCAGGGCTACTTCTAAACAACAATGCCAAGTGAAAATGAGAAATTCATAGTTAAAAATATGAGTTTTATGATCGTAGTAAAAAAAGGAAAACAATATATAATTTCGTACTTAATAATTTTATCAAAAATGATGAATTTTTAGGATGCACTACCTACCAACATCAAGATTAGTGCTATACATGCAGGACAGACAGAACGTGACAAAAAGGTGTAAAACTGAACAGAAAAGAGAGGGAGACTCGACCCTGTTTGGAGTTTCAGTTAACCTTGCACAGAAGCAGCTGGTAGAAACGTCCTTCAGAGAAACAAAGAGAGGACCTTTTACTATTTTATTAAGTGACAGACAGGACAAATACATCACACCACGTGGACTACAAGTACAGACAGTGAACATACGGTACAGATAACAACAGAAAACAACGTAAGCTTACAATGATATATATAGGTAGTATAGGTGTGTGTGTGTGTGCGCGCGCGTGCATGCGTGCGTGCATGTGGGTGAGAGGCAGATGGTATGGTATTATATACGCTTATAATATAGCATAAATAGATGACTCACTAAAAATGAATAAGTAAATAAATTAAAAAGTATAAAGAGAAGGAAGAGGAAATAAAAAGAGAAAAATAAATAATAATAATTTGCAATACAATATAGCATACATTAACATAGTATTGTGCAATATTATTTAACCCAATATAATGTGACAAGATAATGTGAGATAAGATAATATAGGGCAATTCAAGACATTATCAAGTTGAATTAGTACTTTTACCGGAGTATCTACTTCTACTTGAGTAAAGAATGGGTGTATTTTTGCCACCTCAGCTCATTTGTTTTTTTCTACAAAAAAGTATAATTTCCACAATAAAATTCTTTAAAAGCCCTTTACTCATTCCACCTCATTAAACATTTCAGAATCGTAATGTCTAAAGTTTAAGGAAATGTTAACTTGTTTAGAAATGTGTATATGTTGCATGGGTACTATTTAGGGGTGTAAGAAAATATTGAAAAATATCGTATCATGATCCAGAATGTATTTTACTGTGTTGTAAGGCTTGGTACCATTAGAAGAAATGTATTCTATGATTATTTTATTTTATAATGTGTTTCTGAGATGTTATATATTAATTGGTGATTTTTTTTTATTAGTTGAACATTTACCTTGGATATTACATAAATAAAAGGAAAACTTAAAGGACCAGTGTGTAGGATTTAGTGGCAACTGGGGCCGAAGTTGCAGATTTTAACAGCCTGGAAATGAGAATGGGCTGTGAAATGTGTAAGAGAGACTACAGTGGCTGTGAAATTAGGAAAAACTTTTGTCTGTTCTGTAGAAACATTGTGGTTCAACATGACGACCTCTGAAGAAGAGAACTGTAGATAAAAGTGGCTCATTCTAATGAATAGGAAACAATCCTTATATTCAGGTGATTATACACTAATGAAAACATACCTATGAATATTACTGTGTGTTCCATTTCTGCCAACAGATCCTCACTGGACCTTTAATTCCTTTTTAACAAAAACCGCTTCATCATTTGTTATTTGCCTGCTCTGTCTGCTTGATAGTCCAGCCTTGTTACCTGCTAGCTACATGTCCTAATGTTGGACCTGTTTGCATTTTCCTTAACCCATTTATTTATTCAGTTTGGTTTAATTGCTTATGGCTGTCAATAAGAAGAAAACATCCTCCAGGATGCTGGATTTTTCCATATAATGAAAGAGAGTGCAGTGTTTTAGTCGAAGTGACTTTATTGAATGATCAGTGACTGTTGTTCCAATGAGTTCAGGTCTGCTGCTTCTGTTGTTCAGTGAGCATGAGGAGACAATATTCCCTCTGATCTGTCTGTCAGCGCATCCGAACAGGCTTCCTCTGTAACAGTGAACAGTGATGGATTACAGTCAAAACTGTAATTGCACAGTGTTGAATACAAATTGTAGACATATATAATTTGCTCATGTGGACACTCA